AATTCTTTTTCTTCCTTTCTAAAAAAAAATTATTGTTTCATATTTTTAGAGTGTTGAATAAGTATATAATTACATTTATATTATTAATATGTGTTTATATAGATTTTTATTTTGCCTATGTAATTTGCTACAACAAAATTTACATGAGCAAATTCCATTAAAACTTACTCCACAAATATACTTATCAAATTAAGCAAAATTTCAATAGCTTTTAAACTTAGATTTTAGTTTAACTTTTCTGTATTCTTAACTTTACATTGAATAAAGAGTAAACTTTATAGTTTTTATCTGTGAAGTAGAGCTATACATAGTATACATAAATAGATATGCCAAATCTGTGTTATTAAAATTTCATGAAGATTTCAATTAGAAAAAAATACAATAAAACGTTCTGAGTGCAGGGGTAAAGTAGGCAATGATGAAAAAAATAATGGAAAACATTTTTTCATAAATAAATATATTTATTTATAATTCATTAATTTAACAAAAATTTATTGAGTACTGTATACCCAGTACTATTCTAGTCTGCAGGGAAACAGCAGTGAACAAAACAGAAAAACATTCTTGTTCCTATGGCATTTACATTCTAGTGAGAAAAGAAGGATAGAAAACAGATAAGTGAAATCTAAAGTATGTTAGGTAGGGTGAAATGTTAAGGAGAAAAATGGAAGGAGAACTGAGAATGAGAAATAGGGCTTGTACAAACATCTTTAAACTCATGTAGAGAGTGCATAAAGAAAACAAAAAAGAAATAGAAAGTAAAACGATGGCATTTAGAAAATAAAAACTAGTATGTTCACTATTTAAGACCTATGCACAGAGCAAAGTCTTCAGAAACCCAAGAGACCAGCGCTCAAGGTCACCCATCTCAACAAGCCTAGCAATATTTGCAATATCCCAATGGCCTTGTCCTTTTCTTTACTGATGGCCATGGTGGTGCTCAGCTGCAAATCCATCTGCTCTCTTGGCTGTGATCTGCCTCAGACCCACAGCCTGGGTAACAGGAGGGCCTTGATACTCCTGGCACAAATGGGAAGAATCTCTCCTTTCTCCTGCCTGAAGGACAGAAATGACTTTGAATTCCCCCAGGAGGAGTTTGATGGCAACCAGTTCCAGAAGGCTCGAGCCATCTCTGTCCTCCATGAGTTGATCCAGCAGACCTTCAATCTCTTCAGCACAAAAGCCTCATCTGCTGCTTGGGAACAGAGCCTTCGAGAGAAATTTTCCAGTGAACTTTACCAGCAGTTGAATGATCTGGAAGCCTGTGTAATACAGGAGGTTGGGGTGGAAGAGACTCCCCTGATGAATGCAGACTCCATCCTGGCTGTGAGGAAATACTTCCAAAGAATCACTCTTTATCTGACAAAGAAGAAATACAGCCCTTGTGCCTGGGAGGTTGTCAGAGCAGAAATCATGAGATCCTTCTCTTTATCAACAAACTTGCGAGAAAGATTAAGGAGGAGGGAATGAAACCTGGTTCAACATGGAAATGATCCTTATTGACTAATACACCATCTCACACTTCCATGAGTTCTGCCATTTCAAATACTCATTTCTGCTATAACAACAAAATGAGTCGATCAAAATTTTCAAATGTTTTCAGGAGTGTAAAGAAACATCGTGTTTACCTGTGCAGGCACTAGTCCTCTACAGAGGACCATGCTGATGGATCTATTTATCTAAGAAAATATTTATTTAATTATTTATAAGATTTAAATTATTTTTGTCCATATATTATGTGTGCTTTTACTTGTATTTGTTATATCAAAATATGTTCTTTATATTTAGTCAATATATTATTTTGCTTTTTTATTAATTTTTACTATTAAAAGTTCTTGTATTATTTGTTTATTCTTTAATAAATAAATAAATAAATAAATACCAAGCCCAAATGTGCAATCTCATTAAAGAATGGATGGTACAATTCATTTACTCATCATCTTTATATCCAAATTGTAAATAAAAATTGACTTTCTCTAAGCCAGGTTGTATGTTGCCCTTAGGATATCTGCATAAACATTACAAAGACAGTTTTCACTTTCTTGTGTCTTTGATTTATGTAGGAAAATAATAACTATACTTTCTAATACCTGTTAAATTAAATGCTATAGTGGGAAGAAAGAAAAACAAATAAAATTCAGTAAAACTGAAGCAAGGCATATCAGGAAATTTTTAAAAAATATTAGATATCCTCTATAGTAGACAGGTAGACATCTAAATGCAAATGTCCATTGGCAACCTGATATTTTTGTCTGTAATTTACAAGCATCACCAACAAGTGAAAGCCTGGGAACCGAAGTTGTCATGAGTTGAATAAAGTGAGAAAAAGACAACATTTATTTCTGCAAACTTCAACTTTAAAGGGAGAGAAGAGCCAGGAAAGAGTTGAAATAGCCATGCATTGGAACAAGAGACAATGTTGATAAGGGTGCATTTAAAAGACTGAAACTGCTTAGAAAAATCAATGCATTTGTGCAAAACATGTATTGAAAGTGTCCACTACATCTGGATAATAGACCGCATTGCCGCTCTTAGTGAGAGCTAGATGGGTAGAATTAATCGCAGTGGAGTAAGCTGGAAGAGTGAATCAGAGAAGAGAAATTAGTGACCATACATACAGAAAATGATTCTGAAAAGTTTGCTTTCTGAAGTGCAGGACAGAAATAGAGTGAGACTGTGAAAAGAATGTGGATTATGTTCCTCTGAATAATTTTCACTTTAAAAAATATATTATTGTCTCTGGATAGATTTTGTGAATTTGATGGACTGCCAAACCACTTTAATGTGTTTAATATTTTTATTTCAAATTATGAAATTTTAATTAATTACAATAATTTATCATTATTTTTTATTATTTTGATTAATACTGCATTAAATATCATTAAACTGCTGTGTGGATTGAAAGCATTCACTACATTGGGAAAGCAGATCAATGCTGACCTTATGAGAACTGGACAAGTGAAAGTAATAAGCAGAAACCATACTGAGGTAGGTGTAAACATAAGAGAAAATAAGAACTTCCATTTTCTTTTATCATCTGGAGAATCCCTTTGTTCCTTTTACTTGTATCATATTCAGACTTGCATTATTTTTCTTTTGTCTCAACTTATGCAAATATAATAACAGCTTATTTAAAAAATTTAATGGAGAAAGAAAAAGTGATGACTTGGAAATTATGGGAAATAATACTATAGGTTCTTTGCATTACCATTTTTTATTTCCCTGTTGAGGTGCTAACCTCAAGGTGAAATAGGAAGCAATTCAGAAGCAGCACGACAACCCTAGCAAATAAAAATACTAATTTTTAAATATATATATTTTCTTCATATATATATATTTAAACAGTATTTTTCTTTATATATATATATATATATATATATATATATAAATTAGTGTTTTTCTTTATATATATATACAAATTGAAATACAATGAAACCAGTAAGGACAAGTAATTTTACCTAGCATCATATTCTGGACTTCATTCCTCCACATTTTCTTATATTTTAACTTTTTACTAAATAACATTCTTATTTTATGCCATTTTGCTCAGTTTACATTTTTATGTCTACACACATGTATTACTCTTAAAATAAGAAAGCATTAAATGGAGGCATGAAATTTTTGATGATATTTAAACAGAATGAATGTGTGTGTCACAAATTGGAGCAAAAATACTCTCAGTACCTTATATAATGTCCCCTAAAACAAGATACCAAAATATAATCTTAAATAGATGCTCCACATTTTTATTGTGAATTGGAGAATGGTAATCCAAGAAGCCCAGAAGAAATGCACCAATGGAATAATCTAGGGACGTTCAGTAGTTACTTCAATATTGACTCCTCATGAGAGAAAATAATGATTGAATCCTCTAGCTAAGAAACATGGAGCATAATAAATGTTCAACAGTTAATGCATTGAACTCAAATTAGAAATCAACATTTGGCAAATAAATTTATTTTGTTATTTAAGGTAAATTTTAAAAAGGATAATTTACCCACCCCCTGACCACATGCACATATATTGAGCATACATTTTTGCATTTGTCATCTGGAGGTGTTTAGGCTTGACACCTAAACACCTGATCAAAGGAAGATGAGGTTACTGCTGCCAACCTAAGTCATTCACAGAAGTACTCTGCAGATATTTGATTATTTAGGAAACAAAAGCTATCACCCTCTAGTAAAGGTGTACCATAAGTTTAAAGCTGTGATGAGCTAACTTGAGCTATTCCATTAGTGAGTTGGCAACGGAGTTAGATTGGAAGATGGGTGTCTATGTGCGCACTGAGCCAGAGGGTCAGATTAAAGTTGTGCTCTCTAAAAGGTGGATGGTGCTAGGGAAAGAATAATAATGCTGTGGGTCTTGGAATTAAAATTGGCACACCCATGTGCAACTAAAACATATAAGCTAGCCGGTGATTTTGACAATAATGAGTGAAAAAATCCTACAAAAATCCTGCACATGAGGCCTTGGTGAGGCACAGCCACATGGACATGGCCACACTTGAAAATCTTCCTGGCTTTTGTCTGTTTGTTTGATTGCTTGTTTTTCTTTTTGTTGTTTTTGTTTTTGAGACAGTGTCTTGTTCTGTTGCCCAGGCTGAGTGCAGTGGCACAATCTCAGCTCACTGCAATCCCTGGCTAACAGGCTCAAGAGATTCTCATTCCTCAGCCTTCCAAGTAGCTGGGACCTCAGGTGCACACTACCAACCCTGGCTAATTTTTGTATTTTTATGTTTTAGTAAAGATGGGGTTTTATCATGATGGCCAGGCTGGTTTTGAACTTTTGGTGTCAAGTGATCTGCTCGCCTCAGCCTCCGAAAGTGCTGGGATTACAGGCATGAGCCACCATGCCTGGCTGAAAGTATTCCTTTTTGAGAGAAAATCTAACAATATTATTTGTTAATAACTGTCTTTTTTATTTTTTAGCTACACCTACCATAATATGACGGTTGTTAATAATTGTATTCTACTGGAATATGACAATTGTGTCATATTCAATGACTCAATTGTATCTTGAGTCATTACTATGAGATCTGTGATAATGACAAAAGAGTGAACAAGATATAGGCCTTTCTCCTAAGGAGGTTACTTGTCAAACAGGTCTAATAAATCCTGTCTCAGATGTATAGATTGTGAATATTTTCTCCCACTCTGTAGGTTGTCTATTTACTCTGCTGATTCTTTCTTTTGCTGTGCAGAAACATTTTAGTTTAATTAATTCCCACGTATTTATCATTGTTTTTGTTGCATTTGCTATTGGGTTCCTGGTCACGAAGTCTTTGCCTAAGCCAACGTCTAGAAGGGTTTTTCTCATGTTATCTTTGAGAATTTTTATCATTTCAGATCTTAGATTTAAGTATTTGATCTAGACTTACATCTAGAAGTCAATGTCTAGATGGCTTTTTCTGATATTATATTCTAGAATTTTTATAGTTTCAGGTCTTTAATCCACTGAGCTGATTTTCATGTAAAGTGAAAGATGAGGATCCAGTTTCATTCTTCTATATGTGGTTTGCCAATTATCCCAGCACCATTTTTTGAAAAAGGCATCCTTTCACCACTTTATGTTTTTATTTCTTCATCAAAAATCAGTTGGCTTTAAGTATTTGGGTTTATTTCTGGTTTCTCTATTCTGTTCCATTACTCTATGTACCTATTTTCATATCAGTACCATGCTGTTTTAGTGACCATGGCCTTATAGCATAGTTTGCCTCCAGGTTTATTCTTTTTGCTTAGTCTTGCTTTGGCTATGCAGGTTCTTTTTGGTTCTATATGAATTTTAGGATTCTCTTTTCTAGTTCTGTGAAGAATGATGGTGGTATTCAGTTGGGAATTGCACTGCATTTGTAGATTGCTTTCGGCAGCATAGTCATTTTCAAAATATTGGTTTTACCCATTCATGAGCATGAGATGTGTTTCTATTTGTTTGTGTCATCTTTGATTTCTTTCAGCAGTGTTTTGTAATTTTCCTTGTAGAGGTCTTTCATCTTCTTGGTTAGGTATATCCTAAGTATTTAACTTTTTGCACTTACTGTAAAGGGGTTTGCGTTCTTGATTGGATTCTCAGCTTGGTCACTGTTGGTGTATAACAGAGCTACTGGTTTCTATACCTTAATGTTTTATCCTGAAACTTTGCTGAATTCATTTATAAGTTCTAGGTGCTTTTTGGAGATGTCTTTATGGTTTTCTAGGTATAGGATCATATCATCAGCAAACAGCAACATTTTCACTTCCTCTTCACCAATTTGGATGTCCTTGATTTCTTTCCCTTGTCTGATTTTTCTGGTTATGATTTCCAGAACTATATTGAATAGAAGTAGTGAGAGTGGGCATTCTTATCTGGTTCGAATTATCAGAGGGAATGCTTTCAACTTTTCCCCATTTGGTATTATGTTGGCTGTGGGTTTTCATAGATGGCCTTTATCATCTTAAGGTATGTCCCCTCTATGCTGATTTTGCTTAGGGTTTTAATCATAAAGCGATACTGGATTTGGTCAAATGCTTTTTCTGCATCTATTATGATGATCATATAATTTGTTTTTAATTCTGTTTATCTGATGTATTACATTTATTGACTTGTGTATGTTAAATACCTGCATCCCTGGTATGAAACAAGAAACTAAAACAAATTAGCAAGAAAAACAAATAATCTCATCAAAAAATGGGCTAAGGACATGAATAGACAATTCTTAAAAGAAGATATACAAATGGCCAACAAATATATGAAAAAGTGCTCTACATCACTAATGATCAGGAAAATGAAAATCAAAACCACAATGTTATACCACCTTACTCTTGTAAGAATGGCCATAATCAAAAAATCAAAAAATAATAGATGTTGGAGAGGATGCAGTGAAA